TCCCTCAGTAAATCATAAGCCACTCCCCTTCTACCATTGCTGTGAAGAATTTCGATTAGCTTATCATGAGGAACCGTGTCGAAAGCCTTAGCAAGGTCCAAAAAAACAGCAATACTCTTGTTGCCATTATTCAGATTATTGACAATCTCAGTTATTAATTACTGCATAGCATCCACTGCACTGTAACCCTCCAGAAACCCGAATTGATTATCTGATAATACATTATTAACTTCAAAAAAATCCATTAATCGAGATTTAAGACATTTTTCAAATAACTTTGCAAATTTTTTTAAATTGTAAATATGTAATAAAGGTGTTAAAATTTCAAAATGAGCTTTATAGTTTCAACCAGTATGCCATCATAGCCAGGAGCACTATTACTTTTCAAAGATGGGATATGTTTTATTAGATAATTCCTTGTAATGGGACTTAATAAAATAGAATTCTGGACGGGGTGCTCTAATTTACACTCAGATTGAGGAGTGGGAATTGTCCGTGCCATGTTAACACTCACATCAATTAAATATTCATTACAAAAATTTACCATTCCAATAGAATCAGTAAACTGGTTGCCATCGTTAACATTTATAGAAATATTTATATATAATATATATTTTTTATTTGTAACTCTTTTCGTACGTTGCATCCTTTATGACGTCATACAGTTTTTTCATCTTATTTTTATTTTTTTCAATTTGCATTCTATAGTAATTATTATTTTATTTGTGTAATAATTTATTTAGTTTATTACGATAATCCTTGTACTGATTTTCCAAATTTCCAAAATTTGCTAGAAGTCTCTTTTTCATTTTATCCCTGTTTTTCACAGAAACAATAATTCCATTGCTTATCCATGGTTTTATTTTTTTTGGAATTGATACTCTTGTGGCAATTGTTTCTGTTGCTTTCAACAACAAGTCCCTGTAGGTAGTCAAAAATAACTTTACAGCTATTTCTGGATCATTCACACTAGTTACCAAATTCCAATCACAATCATTCAAAAACTTCTTAAATTTATTTTTGTTTAGTTTGTTTGTTGTTACAAGTTGCCCAAACTCCAAAATTCAAGAAGGTCGTGCTTTATTAGTCATACAAAGCACTGTTGGACTGTGATCCGTTATTTCCTCATTGAGTATATAAGAATTTAATAATAAACAATTGGTTTTTAATTTTTGCCTAACAAATATATGGTACAGGCAAGTTCCCGAAGACAGTCTAGTAGGTTTATTGATAAATGCGTTAAAGCCAAGAGAAGACATCATTGACAGATACTCTGTCACCAGAGTCTCCTTATTATCCAGAATATTTATGTTAATATCCCCCAAAAATATCGCAATATTAGCAGAACTATTATGCTCCAAATAAGTGTGCAAATCATCAGTAAAGTCTTTCTTTGATATTGGAGGTGGTCTGTAAACGCACGTTATACCATACAAAACCCCATCCCTTTCAAACGTGAGTCTACCTAAACTAGCCCTTGATATACTTAATTGGCACTTGGAGAAATTCGCCCTAATACCATCCCGAACAAAAACAATAACCCCATCATTTTTATTGTAATTACCCTCATTATAAAAAGTTTGGTAGCCAGGTAAATTACAGTTCTTAATAGACACAATTTGAAAGGTTTCCGTGAAAACAATAACGTCAAAGCTATTTAGCTTATATGACTCTATATAAGCCAGAACGTTATACAAATTTCTGTTGATACTTCTCATATTAACATGAATCACAGTTACAGCCAATGAATGTGGATTCTGTGACAAGGAGGTTTTTATCTGTTCACTGTCCATTATTTATACGTATATACAGAATTTTCTCATTTATGTGATTTAGCATTATGCTTATTTACTATAGTCAGTTCTGGATCTGTTGCGTACTTAGTTTTATACAGCTTATTGGCCGTGTCACAGTTCACACACGTCCTCTCCTGACTTTCACATTCTGTGGTATTGTGACTCCCTGCACAGTTTCCACAGACTTGCTTTCTAAGACACCGGTTACTTTTGTGTTGAAAGCCCTGACACTTGAAACACCTAGATACAGTCAGATCCTCATACACTGGCAGATGCTCCAATCTATGTAAATTTTTTCATTTTTCATTATTTTAGAATATAAGTTTCCTGAACATTCCGCATAAATTGTGGAGGTATCTTTATTTTTATGTCTGCTAATATAATGTATCTTAAAGTGTCCGTTCAACTGCATCCATGTATTCTGCTTCCTTATACTTTCTTCAAGCTTCTCTATCTCCTTATTACCCACATATCCTACAATTTTAATTTTCGGTAACATCTTTTTTGGTAAATTAACTTCATATTTACCTTTTAGTTTACTTTCTGCTGATTTATTGAGTCTTTCTAGCTTCTGTTCTGAGTCGCACTGTAGTACAATATTTCCTTTCTTAGTTTCCTTAATATTTCTAATACCAACATTAATTTCGCGTGGGTTTATCAACCTTTTCACCCCATCTTTATTCTTTCCTATATTTTGCTGGCTTTTAGGCACATTTGCATGTGTCTTTTCTGTAGTTTGCTTTCAAATCTGCTAATTCTCTTTTAATTTCCTCCATCATTTTCACCATATAGGGCATTCTTGCTATTAATTGCTTGCATTCACCACAAATCAACAAAAGAACCCTCTTCTGTAGTGGCTTACATCGCACTTCCGAAGATATTAAATTGACACAATCCTTATGAACGCTCCCAAAACATAAAACACATTTATAGTAACCACTGTCTCCATGAAATTCTGTTTTACATTTGATGTATACCTCGGCTTCAGGTTCATTACCCTCCATCCTTGTTTATAATTAATGTTTCTGTTTTCTGATGGTCATTATGATTGTGAGGCTATGTTTTCTTTTTAAAATTGTAGGATGGTTAAATCAAAAGTGAAAAATTTGATGCAAACAGATATTTGTGAGATATGATCCTGGATAACTAGACTATAAAACTAGCTAGTTATTCTGATGGTTAGTGTTTTGTAACTGGCACTTTTTGTAAGCAAACTTTTTGTTGCTGTGTACACTTTTTGTAAGAGAAATGTATCCTACTTATTGCAATTAACCACAAATGAAAAATATATGCACATCCAATATTTCACTGCAAACATACTTCTCACAGCACTATTGTGATTTCTTTCAAAAATCAGATTTTTTACTGAAGTGTTAACGTAGATTTTCGACAAAATCGGGAGAGCACTTTTTACACACGTCTATCGTTCGTGAACATTTGAATATAAGACATTGTTGCAACAACATGCTTTAAATATAGTCTTTATGTTGCAAAAGAAGACCAGTTGAAGAAATTATTTTTTTCGAGTGTAACACTAATGTTACTGAGAACATGTGAAGAGCTATTACCACATTTCAAATACTGGCATACTTGTATAAATTTATTTGAGTTTTTCTTTTTTATGTTGCGCTATTGTTAGATCATTGATTTGTTTTCGTTGTTGGTATATTTCCTGTATTTGGGTGTAACCTGTTATTATAAATAAATAAATAAATTAGGCTTTTGGCTCTACGGGACCGCTTCTCGTCCACAAGGTCAATTACAGACCAATTGTTTGAAGAGCATGGAAAACCTAATAATGCGAATAATGGGAATTGTTTACAGCCGGATCAAAGGTTTTGGAATTACTTCATACAGTCGTAAGTGTGTCCTACCTCTCACTCCTGGACACCGACGTGATAGACTAGCTTGGTTCAATTGGGACCTCGAATGGAATACCATTTCTTTAGTAATGAATCCAAATTCTGTGTGAAGATGAATGATGGCCTTACAATGGTAAGAAGGCGACGAGGTGAAAGACGACATTCTCAGAGTTCTATGGAAATGCATATGCATCACATTGTTGGAATTATGGTAGCGGGACTATTGCTTATAGAAGCAGGTCCGCTTTGGTGTTCATCAGAGGCAACATGATTGCCGTGGATTACATCTAGGAGGTAAGGGAACCACATGTTTTGCGTCACCAGCCCACTTTTTCAACAAGATAATGCGCGATCACCAGCCAGAATTACTTTGGTCCATTTTGAAGACAGTCAAATCAATTTGTTGCCTTGGGCACTAGATATCTCGATCTTTCTGTCACTGAACGTGTCTGAGACGTTACTGGGAGAATATTGTTTCGTTTATCCCATTATCCACTAATTCCAGTTGCACTTCGGCATGAGGTACAAGTACCCTGGGATGAGATACCTTGAGAGAACTATTATTTTTTTAAATTTTTTTCAACTGTTGGATTCTTATGAAATATTGAACAATTATTAACATAGCAGTAGAAGACATGTATACACAAAACTGATATTACTTAAATCCATTATTACTATGTGCTTTTTCCATGTTATTTAGTATAAGTATAAATACAAAGATTTCGAAAAACACACAATGGAAGAAAATCGTGATTTGCACACAACATTTGGCTTGTTTAGTTTTGTAAGCAAAAATAAAAAACAGGTTGCCATCGTTTGGCTGCGGCTGTTGCTCCATCGATGACCTGCCAGTACGACTACTACCCTATATTTAGCGCATAGTCGATATGGAACAATCTAAATAACCTTTACTCCTTCTTCTAACTATTATTAGTGTTCTCAACTTCAAAACTCGAACGTAAAGCCTTTATAGTAGTCTCTAACTCCCTGACATCGTCTAGTATCTGGGCAAACAGACCTGACAGACCTACTGACATAGGATACTTTAACAAAGAGCGAAGAACCCACGGACCGCTCTGACGGACAATGACGAATAGAGTAGAGTAGTCTTGGAGTATGGTATATTTTAGGCTTTGTCTTCGTATCCAGTTCGGTGAAAAATGAACGTGAGCAGCTTATTCTTTTTCACTAGAGCCTAAGTATTGACAAGAGCTGATATATTGTTCCACGTTCTATATAACCTAGGCTTAAAAAAGCGGTCGGCGAGTTCTCTAAGGGTTTTGAAAAGCGAACCTCGCTGGCATATCTGCATAAGATACCTAAAGAGATGTTATAAGCTTACCTTTTCCATTTTAGAGAGATGCAGTGCGTACTTGTCATGTGCCCTGAATTGCATGAATCGCATATTTGATGACTGTGACAGCTCTGTGATACTTTTTATACTAGGGAAAAACCTGAAACATACAATAATTGTCATTAGTGATTGAATTTCGACAAGACTGAAAAAGCTTTCAAAATTTTGGAATTGCCTCTAAATAAAAATGCTAATTACCCTTTGCAGATACTGACAGTACAATTTAAAATTATTCCACTGGTATACTCGTAACCTGCTTGTCAAAGGAAGGCGTTGAGTGGAAGTCGTGGAAATTGAAAAATCTAATTAAGAGTAGCCCAGACAGAACTTTCACCTCCAGAGCAGATACCTCTAGTTAGAGCAATGGCGCGTGTAGTTACGATGTATCTAAATTAGGCGATTTACCTTTCTAATCGAAGTAGCGTGATCTTTAATTCTTTTCACTTTTGCAAAGAGAGATTAAAAGTTTAAACTTTGCTTTACGGAAATGCGGTGATCATATTAAGATACACTGACTTCATACGCACATCCATTAATGCATAAAACTATACGTTAGCTATAAAACTCGATATTTCCAGTAATTGTACTATTGTCGATAAAGAAAAGGTGTAAAATGAAAATAAACAGAAAAATATGAAGGGCTGTCGTTGAACCATGCAGTCTGATGAAGGATAAGAAAAATTAACTTTATTTCAAATGCTAGACGTGATTGTGGTGCATTTGGCATCATCATTTTCCATCCATCTCTCCCTTTCTCGCTCATTCCCTTTCCTCTCCCTACAAGCAATACTTAATATCTTGTAAGAGGAATAAGATAACGTTCGGTGCCAACATTATATCTGTGATACGCACAATTATAATTACTTTTCTGATCAATCTCATTTTTCCTTGCTTATTATTAAAAAGCATTTTGTACGTTGAATGAACGTTTCGTATGCCATGTGAGTCGAAACATCAGTAAAATACTTTGTTAAACGTATATAGTTGCCCAGCGACAAGGCGGAATTTTTGATGTTCTACTTACTTGAACATAGTCTGTACAGCTACAATAGTATTACAGTCGGCCAGCGAGTCTTCTTCTGCAGAGTTTGACAGTTCCTTATTTACAACGACCACGTTCTCTGCTAACGTGATTCCTGCTCTTAATAAATCGTCCAAACTGCAAAAATAATAAAAAAATAATACCAAAAATATTATTGGTGTATTATTCGTGTATGTGGGGCTATATGCCACGAGTGACTCCTGACACGGGTTATCTCCCCATATAGATCGATAGACACCCTAAACCAGATTCGCTGAGAAATATGCAGATCCTCGGAAAATAATGCATGATCTGCAAAGGTGTATTATTCGCCGCCGACGATGTGGAGTTTCTATCGCTTCATAACAAATAGATGGGCTGTCACGTGGATGATTCCTGCCATGGGATCGCTCTGGGCGAATTTACACTTATTTAGAATTATTATTTCTTGCGTTATTATATGAGCCTTTACACCAGCGAGTGTGTTCACCCAGAACCAAATTTACCCCCCACGTCACAGTCGTGAGACTATGACTAACGCTCTAACAAAATATTGGACCTGTGGTAATTCGACAAACGTTTAGCAGGGTGATGTCGGATTATCGAAATTGTCGGATTATTATAGTGCCCAAGACCCCCTACAATTCGGAATTTTTTGAAAATGCGTACCTTGTAATCCGACACATTACAAATCAAAGAATCTAATTGAACTCCATCATTATGTGTATGTATAATATGTATGTATAAACCAGTCCTATAGAATTTACAAAAGACAATAACTAAACTTATTCACGAAAGAAAATACAGAAAATACAGAGTGTAATATGTACCAATCAATTTATATGGCAGTAAAATATTCATCTTTTTTTGTTTCAAGATGTTAAAGCACGAGACCAAAGCTTTGTCTCTTAGTCTTCTCAAAACTAAAACTTCGTTGTAGGAACATATGCAATGACGACTTTCGAAACAATAAAAGCAAACATTCGACCATTTATAAAAATTATGAATATGATACTAGAAATAAAAATAATAAAGTAATTATTGCAACACCAAAAAAAGAAATAATGATGAATCTTATATAGACTTAGCTCCAAAATGATATCACAACTTACCAAAATATATTAGAAAAACCGAATATCATCAAAAATAGATTTATACGAGTGGCTATTGAATACTGACATATATGTGTGCGTCAAACGCTGAAATCCGTCATTTCCTGAAATCCCTAGTGAGTCCCCCCCCGTATTGCTGGAAAACACCGTAACAGTTTGATTATTACAAAGTTTAAGCATTTTAGTCATTTCCTGTAATGACTGAACAATTTCAGTCAAACACCGTAACAACCACACTAACTTCGTTACTAGATTTGCCTGCTTCAGTCATTCCTTGTACCAGTTTTGTGTTCGTTTGCTTGAGTATACACATCATCTTTTTTATGTTTGTAAAGATGTCGCGGCAGTTAGAATTGTTTTACATGAAACTAAGTGAATACTATGACAGTGTGAATAAGAAAAAAATATACAATATGAGTTAAAGGAGGTAAGTCAATTTTTATAATTTTGTATACCTAACCTAAATTATAACGTACATAGTCTTGCTCAATAGCAGCGTCCGTCGTTGCCGGATTTCGTATATAAGTACTTGATTAAATATACAGGGTGTCCGCAAGGTTGGGGTTTTCCTTTACACGACGTGTAGATCTTGAAAACAAGCAATTTTTCTTAGTACCATATACACCAATGTCTTAGGGGAACCGAGATAAAGGGCTCTGCAACATCAAAAATATCTGAATACCGTCCTGTAGCCGCGACATCCCCGAGTGGTACTAGGGCACTAGCTCAACCCGACGACAGAACTGGGTCGGGGTCAGTGTGTCAGGTCAGTATGCAACCTTCAACCGACGGTTACGGTCACGCGTGTAGAGGTAATCGCGTAGACGAGAATCCCTCAACAAGCACTAGAGACGTGGCTAGAGAAGTGCAAGTATCAAAAACTAAAGTGTGGCAAACGCTGGGTGAAGAGGGGCTGTATCCGTTTCACGTCCAACGTGTACAAGCCCTTCAACCTGACGGTTTTCCAGCAAGAGTGCGGTTTTGTGAGTGGTTGTTGCATCAACATGACAATAATCCGGACTTTTTGAAGTGCATATTGGTGACAGACGAATCTACGTTCACGCGTAATGGGGTGAATAACTTTCGCAACACTCATGTTTGGTCAGTAGAAAATCCGCACGCTGTCCGTCGGGCACATTTTCAACAAACATTTTCGGTGAATGTTTGGGCTGGCATGGTGAACGGTATGCTCATTGGACCATTTATTCTCCCAAATCGATTGGACGAGATGCAATACCTAGACTTTTTACGCAACATTTTGCCTTCCTTGTTTGCCTGCGTCTGCTCGGTAGCGCATCAGCTGATTTCATTTTCTGTTGGAGCGGTATGGTTTCGGGCAGAGACGTACTTAGCCCTTTTCGTCAACTGGAGAGTGAGTACTTTTCGTTTATTTTTTTTTACTTGGTCGCCCTCGTTTCACTACACATTACCTTTGTTATTTCCAGGGTAGTTGTTTCTGAAAAGGAAAACCCCAACTTTGCGGACACCCTGTATATTATTCATCCACATTGAAGTTATTTATATCAACAATACACGTCCTCGACGCACGTTTCGCCATCATATAACAACTCTTATAAATAAAAGCTATTTCCGAAAAAGTTTTATCAACACGTGAAGCTGTGCAGTCACTTTCGTTAGAGGGAGACCAAGGAAATTTTAAGTGTTGCAGCGAAAAAGCAGTATTTGTACAATAGATGTGTTTGTTTAAAAAAGAATCCTTTGTAATTCAAGGTTCCATTGAAGTCTAACATAACGCTAACAAATAATGAAATAATATAATATAGATAAGATAGTTCTGTGTACCTTTATTCGTTTGAAACTACTCACAGTTCTGTATATTTTTGAATGTGTATTTATTGTTTTATATTTCTTTATATAGTTTCAGGATATTTCTTGTTGATTTAATACATTAATGAATAATGTCGGCAGCAATGCAATAATAAAGACAACGTCTTAATCTATTTTTCTTTCCTTTTAGATTAATTCATGCTTGATCATTTTTCTTTCATAAACGCTCCAATTTGACAGCTTATCAGGTCCTCACTTTGGAAGATAGTGTTTTTATATACAGCTCTTCACTATGAGACATCGCGTGACCCCCTATTCCATTTATAAAAATATTTCAAAATGCCACTCGTGCGTCATATCGAAATTTCCAATTGGCGCTCTTATGCTAAAATATACTAAGTGACATATAAATCCGAACACCCAGTTTAAATGGTTTTATTTTAATAAAATTTTGTATAAGTACTTAATGAAGCATAATAAGTAAATGATAAAAATTTCAAAATGATTGCACTGCTTTAAAGCCCTTTGACCTTTAATAATGTGTGGATGCACCCTGATGAGCTACGCATTCTCCAACGCGCCTAGGCAACAAAAAACTGTGGATTCCTCCTTTCACCACGTCGCCTTCTAACCCTGGATCGACCATCGGGCATGCCTAAACAAAATCGAGACTCGTCACTAAAGACAATACTGTTCCATTCCTGATCCCAGAGTGACCGATGTCTGCACCACTCAAGGCGATTACGTCGGTGTTCTCGAGTTAAAGGGAGGACCCAGTGTGGCCGCTATGAAAACAAGCCAAAACTTCTCATTCGTCGGTAAACACTTCGCATGCCAATAGGTCTTCCGTGTTCTGCAAACCATTCATTTGCAATGGACCTGGTAGTGGAGAAACGGTCCTTTAAGGCCAATAATCTTAGGCGGCGATCTTCACGGTCTGTTGTTCTACGGCGGCGTCCAGTGTCCCTTGCTCTTTGCGTACGGCCTTCTCGAAGCAATGCCTGACAACACCTAACCACAGTGTCTACACTTCTTTGCACTCTAACTGCAATTGCCCGAAAAGAAAGTCCAGCTTCCCGAAGTCCCACTATACGGCCCCTATCAAACTCACTAAGTTGACGAAATCGTACAGGTCTCCGTACTCTAGGCATCGTAACCGATCGTAAAGGATGTCAAGAACCAAAATCCGCCAACGTTGATTCTTTACTGCGGCTGAAATATTCATTTTTAGAGCGTTAGTGAATTAAAAAAAAGCAGTATAAAAACCGGAATGTCCAACTGATAAGGCTGAAAATTGTTTCACTTGTTATTTACAGTAAGATAGATACATTCACCAACTTTTATTAAAATAAAACCATTTAAACTGGGTGTTCGGATTTATATGTCACTTAGTATATATTACTCATGCAACAATTTCATTATCCCGAATTTCAGCTTGTTCATATGGCCATTTGGAAAATACTTGGAGGGGGTCACCTTTTTAAAAAGCTTCGTATATGAATACGTTTATTTTTGTTATTGAAATAATGCTTTAAGCTTATATCCCATATTATGGGAACCTGTTTTATATTTATAGTCTCTGGCCAGTAAATAACGCACTATAAAATATTCATAATTGTACATGTTGCACCAAACTATATTAAATTTACCTTCAAAAATTATCATTTTTGTATAGGACATTCACGATGTTATCGATCGAAAAGGCGCTTGTTGAATAAGCAGCAATTTTGTATGAGAAACGTAGACGCGAACTTTACGCCGCCAGTCAGAATTGCAAGCGTGTGTCGACTCGAACGATACCCTAATGCTCCCACGAGCTCTTCTATTCTTTAAAAGAAAAATAAAAAAGGCGAACAGCTAGGCACTTGAAACTCAAAACAGTTAATACCCTAGTTACCGACAACATGATGACTTCGTACGCCTTACTAACATATAACATTGTTCATGAGTATTGCAATAACTGCGTTGCAAAGTAAATTAACAGTTAACTTGTTTGCTTGGAAAATATGGTTACTTTATTAATAGAGCTGAGTCATTTTTTTGAAATCAGCATTTTGAACTAAACTAAATTTCACATTGTAAAAGCTACCTCTCTTCCATAACCCATAACTATCCTTGATCCACGTTCTATCCTCTCTGTCAAATTTCATGTTCATAGGTCAAATAGTGCTTGTAAATACCTCTATCCCCCTTTAATCCGGCTCTTTTGCAAAATTTTAGTTGACATGTCGTGTCCAT